AGTCGTGAATATTTATATTATAAAAAAACTATTAAAGTATTTTTTATTTTATTTTGCCAGGTGTAAGGGCCCCACTGCTCAGATCAGCAGGGAGTCGGCTCACTAGTGAGTCAGATCAGCCAGGAGTCGGCTCAGCCAGGAGTCGGCTCACTAGTGAGTCGGCTCAGCTGTGAGATGGCTCACTAGTGAGTCAGCTCAGCCAGGAGACAGCTCACTAGTGAGTCGGTTCAGCTGTGAGCCAGCTCAGCCAGGAGTCGGCTCAGCCAGGAGATGACTCACTAGTGAGTCAGCTCAGCCAGGAGACGGCTCACTAGTGAGTCAGCTCAGCCAGGAGACAGCTCACTAGTGAGTCGGCTCAGCCGTGAGCCAGCTCAGCCAGGAGTCGGCTCAGCCAGACCCACAGACTCACACAGAGACCCACAGACTCACACAGAGACCCATAGACTCACACAGAGACCCATAGACTTACACAGAGACCCACAGACTCACACAGAGACCCACAGACTCACACAGAGACCCACAGACTCACACAGAGACCCATAGACTCACACAGAGACCCACAGACTCACACAGAGACCCATAGACTCACACAGAGACCCATAGACTCACACAGAGACCCATAGACTCACACAGAGACCCATAGACTCACACAGAGACCCATAGACTCACACAGAGACACATAGACTCACACAGAGACCCATAGACTCACACAGAGACCCAAAGACTCACACAGAGACCCATAGACTCACACAGAGACCCATAGACTCACACAGAGACCCATAGACTCACACAGAGACCCAGAGACTCACACAGAGACCCATAGACTCACACCGAGACCCATAGACTCACGCAGAGACACATAGACTCACACAGAGACCCACAGACTCACACAGAGACCCACAGACTCACACAGAGACACAGACTCACACAGAGACCCATAGACTCACACAGAGACCCATAGACTCACACAGAGACCCACAGACTCACACAGAGACACAGACTCACACAGAGACCCATAGACTCACACACAGACTCATAGGCTCACACAGACCCATAGACTCACACAGAGACTCATAGACTCACACAGAGACCCATAGACTCACACAGAGACCCACAGACTCACACAGAGACCCATAGACTCACACAGAGACCCATAGACTCACACAGAGACCCACAGACTCACACAGAGACCCATAGACTCACACAGAGACCCATAGACTCACACAGAGACCCATAGACTCACACAGAGACCCACAGACCCACACAGAGACCCACAGACTCACACAGAGACCCACAGACTCACACAGAGACACAGACTCACACAGAGACCCATAGACTCACATAGAGACCCATAGACTCACACAGAGACCCACAGACTCACACAGAGACCCACAGACTCACACAGAGACACAGACTCACACAGAGACCCACAGACTCACACAAAGACCCACAGACTCACACAGAGACACAGACTCACACAGAGACCCATAGACTCACACACAGACCCACAGACTCACACAGGCCCATAGACTCACACAGAGACTCATAGACTCACACAGAGACCTATAGACTCACACAGAGACCCACAGACTCACACAGAGACCCATAGACTCACACAGAGACCAATAGACTCACACAGAGACCCATAGACTCACACTGAGACCCATAGACTCACACAGAGACCCATAGACTCACACAGAGACCCATAGACTCACACAGAGACCCACAGACTCACACAGAGACCCACAGACTCACACAGAGACCCACAGACTCACACAGAGACCCACAGACTCACACAGAGACACATAGACTCACACAGAGACCCATAGACTCACACAGAGACCCACAGACTCACACAGAGACCCATAGACTCACACAGAGACACATAGACTCACACAGAGACCCATAGACTCACACAGAGACCCATATACTCACACAGAGACCCACAGACTCACACAGAGACCCACAGACTCACACAGAGACCCACAGACTCACACAGAGACCCACAGACTCACACAGAGACCCACAGACTCACACAGAGACCCATAGACTCACACAGAGACCCACAGACTCACACAGACCCATAGACTCACACAGAGACTCATAGACTCACACAGAGACCCATAGACTCACACAGAGACCCATAGACTCACACAGAGAC